GCTGCTGCTGCTGCCAATCGGGACAGAGTGTATGACAACAAACGGGTAAATGCATCGACGTTTTTATCCAGGACCGTAGTTTCAAACCACCATACTCGCACTGGTTTCCCCCTATGGAAGTCGGGTGAGATCGTGCAGACTCCCGCACGTCGTTGAATCCATCCGCATCCCCCAAAGGGGGCCATTGGGGGGGTGCTTGGGGCCCTCTTGAACTCTTGGACCGTCTTAGGGTCTCTATGGGCTCTCTTGGGGCGCTCCTGGAGATCTCTTGAGCCCCCTTGGTCGTCTGTTGGCATCCCCACGGGGAAGCCTGGGGCAACGCAGGGAGATCCCAACGGCGGGATTGCAGCGCTGGAGCGTGCGATTAAACTCGGCGGCGAGCGAAGAGGGGAAGCGAGAAGGAAAAGGCCTTCTCAGAAGGTTCGGAAGTCCCCCAGCCTTCTGAGAATTTTTATACACTAAAACACCTCTCAGAAGGCGCGAGGGCTTCTGAGAAGTCCCGCCGCCTTTGAGAAGGCTTTCCTTCTCACTTCCCCCTCTCGCTCGCCACCGATATAAAACCGTTGAATGGGGAACAGGATCAGGGAATGATTCGGCAGGCTGATGCCACAGCGAGGTCTCGGCCGCAGCGTAATGTCAGAGCGTGGTGCCGCCCAGATGGCCCGCACTGCCAGGCGCTGATCAATGCAGCGTGGTATCGCAGCGTGGTGTCGGTCGCAGCGTCGTGTTACAGCTGTCACAGCGTGATATCGTCCAGATGGCCCGCAGCGCCGGGCGGCGAACTATACAGCGTAGTGTCACAGCGCGGTGTCGCCCAGATAGCCCGCAAGCGGCGGCCTCGCTGCCGCCCGCGGTGGCGACACCGCTCTGTGACACTACTCTGCGTAGACCGCAGGCGGCGAAATCACGCTGTGCCAGCACGCTGTGTAGCCCGCGGCGGCGACACTGCTGTGACATCACGCTGTGTAGTCCGCAGCGGCGACACCGCGCTGTGACACCACGCTGTGTAGCCCGCAGCGGTCACACCACGCCGTGTCACCACGCTGTAGTCCGCAGCGGTCACACCACGCTGTAGCCCAGCCCGTGCGAAGCGGCCACGCTTTTCAGCCCACGGCGACGACATTAGGTTGTGACGCCCCCCGCGAGGGGCGACACAGCATGCCGTGGCACCACGCTTCGTAGCCCGCACGCGGCGGCAACACTACGCGGCGACGCCGCTCTGTGTAGCCCTTATCGGCGACACCATGCTGTGTAGCCGGTGGCGGCGACACCACTCTGTGAGGCCACGCTGTGTAGCCCGCGGCGGTCACACAACACTGTGACACCATGCTGTGACTTCGCGGGGCGACGCTACATTGCGACACCACGCTGCGTAGCCCGCGCTGGCGACACCACGCTGTGACACCACGCTGTGATGTCACGCTGTGAAGCCCGCGGCGGTGACACAAAGCTGTGACGCCATGCTGCGTAGCTCGCAGCCCGCAAGCGGAAGCGACAGCGTGGTGTCCCCACCGCTTGTGGACTGCGGGCTGCACATCGTGGTGTCACCGCCGCGGTGTACACAGCGTGGTCTAAGCAGCGTGGCGAAGTAGCGTGGTGCCAGCCACAGCGTGGTGTCATGGCGTGGTGCCCCCAATAAGGCCCGCAGCGCTGGATGGCGAATTGTACAGCGTGGTCTCACACTGTGGTGTCGGTCGCATCGTGGTGTCACAGGGCGTTGTCACAGCGTTATGTCGCCCAGATGGCTCGCAGCGCCGGGGGGCAATCATACAGCGTGGTATCACAGTGATGTGTCGCCCAAATTGCCCGCAACCTGCGGCCATGCTTTGCAGCCAGCGGCAGCGATACCACGCTGTGACACTATGCTGCCTAGCTCGCAGGCGGCGACCGACATCACGCTGTGACACCACTTTGTGAAGCCCGGGGCACCATGCTGTTTGGCCCGCGGCGGGGTCAGCGTTGTGTGACACCACGCTGTGCAGCCAGCAGGGATGGCGCCACGCTGTGACACCACGCTGTGTAGCCTGATGCGGCGACACCGCGCTGTGACACCAAGGTGTGTAGCCCGTTGCAGCGACACCACGATGTGACACCACTTTGTGTAGCTCGCAGCCTGCATTCGGCGAACACATTTTGCAGCCCGCGGCGGAGACACCACGCTCTGACACCACGTTGCGTAGTCCGCGGCAGCGACACCACCCTGTGACGTTACGCTGTTTAGCCGGCGGCGGCGACAGCCTGGTGTCGACGTCGTTTGCGGGCTGCAGGCTGCGGGTTACCCATCGTGGTGTCGCAGCGGCTTCACAGTGTGAGGAGGTGAAGGATCACAAGGGACACCAGCAAGAGCAGTTCATCAGAGGGTTTTACAGACTTGCGCCTCCAGTGGGGCTGTCGGAATACGTCGAAGACTGTTCTGCCAGTCATCGGGCAACGGTGCGCGAGCGGGTGTTGTTCTTGGCGGTCCATCATCACAGCAATACGCATCTCCAGCAAAGGGAAGCCATCCGTTGTTTCTGTTCCTCTGCATGGTGGAAGGCGTACGTCCAGATCGCCCTACTGGCTTAATGCAAATGCTTTCGGTGCTTTGATGGCCCGCAGCGTGCGCTTTTCATCAAGACTGCGGCCCGTCGGCAAGTATCCAAGGCGTGCCCGCCGGCTTGGAAGAACGCACACTCAGTTGTTGCGGGTGTTGTGTTGACCTCGTTGCGCCGACAGTGCGGTTCATTTCTAGCAAAAGATGACTACGCCGCCCTTGTATCTGTCGACCAACGTTCGCGCAAACGGGCCGCATGGGTCGGCATAGCATCGCAGCCTCTTAGGCGGTGGGTGCCCAAGGGTAGCGACCGATCAGTAGTTCGCAAGCATCCCAGACGCGCCGAGCATCATTGCCTATTCCGTAGACCTCAAGACTCAAGGCAACCATACCAAGTTATTGTCCAAGCTTGCTTTCCAGCGAAATGTATGCGAGTCAGCGGAACTGCACGGATCCGACGACTCATGCAATTCACCCCGGCAGTTGCACGATTCGGGCCAGTCGGTGCGAGCCCGCTCGCTCGCGAGCTTTTCATCGTACCGTCAGCTGGTGCCATAGAGCTTGTACAAGCCATTGAACGCTGAGTCATCGCAGTGACATGCCAGTGGCTTTGTGATGGAGGTGTCGCAGAAGCCCAGCAAGCCTTGGCTCGGCTTGGTCGCGATCCACATTTGCTCAATAGCATGTCTATGAACACGCACATGTTGTCTCAGCAACCGGGCAGCACCCAAGCGTACAGCACGACAGACACCAGTCGCAACACCCATTTCGCATGCACTGCGCACCGTGACGTGTGCGAATTCCAGGATGTCTTGCTCAAGTTGTGTAAGTTAGCGGGTACAGATGCGATTCGTTCCCATCTGGTGTTGCGGAGCCCAACGGCTGATCAGCCAATCAGATCTTGCTCAGTCCTCTGGCGTTGCTACAAAAGTCGCCGCCCTACTGCCATCATTGTGACTACCAGCTTCGCTTGTCGCTTTGCAGCCGGTGCTCAGATTTGTGACCACCAGCTCCGCTTGCCAGCAACAGCCACGACTCGGGGCGCAGTGCTGAGAGGGATTGGTTTGGTGGCCGCCTGAGAAACACCAGTGGGTACGGCTGGCCCGACCGGAAATATCGTTTCGGTATGGTCAGAACTCTTTGAACTCCTCCGCCTCCTACGCCTCCTCCGCCTCCTGCTCCTCCTCCTCCTCCTCCTCTTCCTCCTCCTCCTCCTCCCCCTCCTCCTCTTCCTCCTCCTCTTCCTCCTGCAGCGGAGGCGGGCAGAATTCGGGCACTCGGGGGTCGCAGCTCCCAGCTTCGTTTCCAGCACGTCCAGAAACCACACGAGTCTCCGATCCCGCTGGCGCGTGGACGTCAGCGGGATACTCCTCTGCCTATAGCTTCTTGAGGACTCGAGTGAAACCTGTTCCCGACCAGCTGGAGTCATGGGCCAACTGCCTGGTGTCCTCAGCAGAGGGCGCGATGTTGCGAGCACGTCGGCTATTCACACGTGCGCACGTCGCAGTTCGATCGTGGCATTTTCTGCACGACGGCCGGCATTCATGGACATGGTGCGCCCAGGCGTTCAGATGGGGAGATAGGCTCAAGACGCACAACGTCTTTGCTGGCTGTGAAGTGCACGCCTCGTCCACTCCTTCAAAGCGGGAGCATACTCCGACATGACAACAGTCGGCTCACTTTCGCGGGGGCCGAATATTGCGCAGCAGTAAACGGCGTCCCCGATATGGAGATGACGTCCCCGTCCCCCCGCTAATCGTAGTTTTCTCCACATCCGCGGAGGCTGAACATGGCGGATCGGTACACGGCGCCTCAAACATGGAGACTCTTGCACGAGAGCTGCATGGGTCGACGGGGCGGCACACCGGATAATGTTATTTCACTCTTCGGGAGAAGACAAGTTGTCCAAACAGTTCTGGATTACATAACATGTTCCGGCCACGGACGATTCGCTTCCGTCTTCATAGCAAAAGCAGATCAGACCAATATCCCCGGCAGAGACGTCGCTAGGACAACGCCGATGCCAGATATGTTACGGGGTAGATGTCGTGTACATGGCACTGCGTGCAGATCATTCACTGCGCCAACTTACAACAACCTCACGACCAGCAGTCAACACCACACCGCGCATTGCGGTGAATTTGCGCCCACGGTGCAGTGGCGCAAGGAGGCCTAAGGAGCCCCATGCTACTGAGCACGTGTCTACGACCTTGATGCAGAACATGTCACGACGGGGATGAGGATGACGAGGCGCAGACGGAGAAGGATCAGAAGGAGGAGGAGGAAGAGGAGGAGGAGGAGGAGGAGGAGGAGGAGGAGGAGCAGGAGGAGGGCGGAGGAGGAAGAGAGGGCCGAGGTTCCGGTTTTCAAGGGATGGAAGGCTAAAGCGTGGAGATTTTGAGGGTGTTTGCGTTTCGCCAGTCGCAGGCGGGGGGCGGAAGGCGGCCGTGGAGCGGGCCCCCACCAGGAGCGCGGCCTGTCCACGGTGTCCGAGCCAGCGGCGCCGCAGCGGTGCCAGCCGAGCGTGCTGGAGTTGTTGCAGCGCCAGGGTAGGAAGTGAGCGCCCTGCGGCGGCCTCTGCCCCAGAGGGGGACGAGGGACCAAATGCCGCTGCCCCATCCGTCGTTCTCCTTTTTTGGGCCTCCGGGGATGCCCTCGACGCCGCCCACGGCTGGATCCGCCTCGAGGTTCTTGATGGGCCTGTTTTCCACCACCACCATAAGTTGGAGGGTGAGGGGGTCCTCCTCCTCCTCCTCCTTCTCCTCCTCCTCTTCGTCCTCCTCCTCCTCCTCGTCCTCCTCTTCCCCCCTCCAACTTATGGTGGTGGTGGTTGAAAACACGCCCATCACTTCTGGTCAGAGCGCTCCCTGGGAGAGATCCGGGGAGTAGCGGTATCGGTACCTTTTGCCTCCCCACTTTCCCCCGCCTCTCGTGCCAGCTCTCCCCGGATTTCGGGCGGCTTTCTTTTCTCCGTCCTTGTCGGTTCCCCTGAGGTGCGGCTCCTTCGGGCCGCATGCGGACCCCAGGGCCATCCGCAGTCCAGGACGAAGGCACACTGGCCCCAGGGATGGGGTCGGGACCCTGGGGCCCGCAGATTGGACACATCATTTTCACCCTCCCCTCGCTCGACGGGCTCGCACTACCCCCCATCCCCTCTCTCTCTCTCCCTCCCCCCTCCGCAGGCCTCGTCCTCGACGTTGGGCTCGGCTCCCTCGCATGCAGGGCGCTCCTGCGCGCACCAGTGCGGAGCGCACGGTAATTCGTAATTTGGCTCTTGAAGGAGGTTCACCCGGGTCCCGCTCACACAGGGCAGTGCCAAGGAGGGCTCATGTGATCGAGGCCGCCCAGCGTGGAACTGGAGTAGACGGGGTCGCAGGATCGCGTTATTTATTCCGATGCCGCCGATACATCGGCGATGCTGTGTAACCCTCCAGCCCCATCTGCTCCGGCGCCATTTGTGTGGCCTCCGTGTTAGTGGGTTGTGGACCGAACCTGTGAGCTCAGAGTCGGGCATTGTATCAATTAGCAGAGCACTCCACAATGCTGTTGAGACCGCTCGAGCAGTCTTTCCTTTGATTCCGCGAACATGCCGTCTGGTCATGGTCGCTCGTCTGCCTTGAAGAAGGACGGCATCGTCTATCTTATTGCATGCGCGCATGGCATATGTGGCCGCCTCCATCCTATCAGATGCTGCAGTCGGGCTATCTTCCTCTATTTCCCTTGGGTACATGGTCGTTGCCCCTTTCCCCATCCGCCCTTTTCGCGGTCCTTGGCATGGAAGTTTGTGCAATGTAGGCGAGCGGCGGGTCCTGTAATCCCGAACTCTGTTCCCTCTTCCTCATGGGGCTTGGCTTACTCTTGCTAGGTAGCGGGCGCGACTTACACGAAATGTGCCAATCCCTCCCCCTCTCTCTCTCTCTTTCTCCCGCTCTCTCTGTCTCTCTCGTTAGCGTTTTTTTACCTCCCCGGCGTAACACTCGTTACCTGGGCCCCCCCCTCCCCCCCTCCCCCGGATAACGCTAACGAGCGTGCTGGGGGTGGGGCTTGGGCACCCCCCTACATGCTGGGAGCGGGCCCCCCGCAGTCATGGCGCTGTGCTCACAAGCATGGCGTAGTCTGAACGGCACGCATTGGTGCTCACCAACGTGTTGTGGCGCTCGCAGGCTCCCCTCCTGCTGCGGCGCCGAGCTCGCAGGCATGTTTGGGTACTCACGCGCGTTGTGGCGCTTGCAGGCGATTGCGGTGCGCATGGGTCAGGCGGACTCACTGCCAGGGTGCCCGCTCGGAGGGCGGCAGGTCGGTTGGGCGGCAGATGCAGAGTGTGGGGGCTCTCTTCCCACGGGCCAGAGGTTAGTGGCCGCGGCGCGTGGACGCGGCGGCGACGCCGGCACGGGCGTTCAAGGTTGATCGCGACCCAGGGGGCCGTTTCGGGCCCCAGGACCCGCAGAAGCGAGCCCGGGGCGCGAAATCCATATGGGAGATGCGTGAAGCCCTACCTCCTTGAGAACCACGAAGCGATCGGGGGGAAGCTGCTGTGGGATATGTAGTTGTGGACGAGGGACGGAAAAACGAATACAGAGCCAAACCATCGTCGTCGTCGTCGTCGTCGTCGTCGTCGATGGCTCAGCTACCGCAGGCTGGTTCGACCACTCTGCCTTCTGGCTAGTGCTCGGCTGCAGTTCGATGCAGTCGACTCGCCTGAAAGGACGCGCGCCGTGTCCAGGGTGCCCTTGTGTCCTTGCCTCTGCGGTCTGTCCTTTGTCGTTTTAATTGGACAGCTTTTGCCAACAAATCCCAACTTCGGTTTCCGAAGGCTTTGCGTCCTTACCACCTGAGCTTACTGCACGTATCGATTGTAGACCCAGCGCCATGGAGAAGATAAAGACTGGGCTGCCCCGCCCCTTCTCCCGCAGGCGCTGTGGTGTGCGCGGGCGCTGTGGTTCACGCAGGCAGCGTGGTGCACGCCGGCGCTGTGTTGCACACGGCTGCTGCGGTGTGCGCAGGTACTGTGGTGTATGCAAGCGCTGTGTTGCACGCATGCACTTTGGTGTACACCGACGCTGTGTTACACGCGGCTGCTGTGGTGTACACAGGCGTTGTGGTGCATGCGTGTAGAATCCTCAGGCGCTCCACTCTCCGTAAAGACTTCTGTAAAGCATGCATATGAAAAATAGTTTTTAGTGGAATGCAGAGGCGCCTCACTTTCCATCCGGATTCGTTTATCAAGCGAAGGTTCTCTGTGGAGTCCAGAGGCGCTCCGCTTTCCATAGCGTATCCTTTTGAAACTCTACATACAAAACTATGTTTTGTGGAATCTGGAGGCGCTCCATTTTCCATAGGGCTTCCTTTAACAATCCGACTGTAAGCAATGATTGTTTTTAGAACCCAGGGGGGTAATCTTATGTTCCAGATTTGTTGTCTGTGGACTCCGTAGGTGATCCAGTTTCACGGTGCTGGCGTTCTGGTGTACGCAGGCAATGCGGTGTACACAGGCGCTGTTGTGCACACAGCTGCTGCAGTATACACAGGCACTGCGGTGTGCAAAGGCGACGTGGTGCTGCAGTGCACGCAGCTGTTGTGGTGTACGGAGGTGGTGTTGCAGCCGGTTCCCCATTCATTTCGGCACACCGTTTACGCATTTCATGACCCACGGGGAGCCACCGAAAGCCCCCAAAGCGTGGTGCTGCATGCGGTTCCCTACCCATTTTCGGCACACCTATTACATGTTTTCGTGGTTCCCCCGCCAATCTCGGCACACCCCTCACACGCGTCATGGCCCCACAAGAGGTTCCACTCAAGGCACCAGTGGCAGTGCCCGTTTTCGTTTTCGTTTCTATTTCAGCACGCCCCTCACACGGTTCGTGTCCCCACAGGGAGCTCCACCGAAGGCGGTACCCGCAACGTGTTATCCATAATTGCATATGGTTGGGTCTTTCGTTAGGATAGTTTTTTGGGTAGGACGGAAACTCCCAGATACGGGGGTTATGGGCCTTCTAGACGGAATAACGACATCACAGGCTCATAGAGGCTACGTGTGTAGGAGAGTGGGCGCACGCCATGTTGGGCTTTTCCAATTTTTCTTAAGAGTCAGACCAAGCGAACTTCAAAGCAGCTCCATCGGGCCCGGACTCTCCCGAGGCTCCAGGCTGGGTCCCAGCCAGTCCCCACATGCAGTCCGAGTCAATAGGGTTATGCCGTGTGTTGGCATCTGACAGTCATCGGCGCGCCCCGCGCGAGGCTGGCGAAGACACATCGTGTGCTTGGTCTCGAGGCGCAAGGACCGCGTCCCCTCGCCCGGTGCCGCACGGCAGGCTCATCGCCGCGGCTGTCCATCACCACGGGGATCAGGGCAGGCTCAGCCACACAGGCATTTTGCAGTGCAGGCATGATCTCGTCGTTTGCAGGTAGCGGCAATGCAAGTGGCCCCCCCCCCAGGTGCAACAGTAATTTGGTCGCTCGGTCCGGCAGACAAGGGCGCGCGATATATTTCAGACGGGTTGCAAGTTCGCTGGGGAACGCAGTCGTTCAAATGGGGCCTCACCAGAGCAAGAACTATGGCGAAGTTGGCAAAGTTAGTCCATCAAGTCCTGGTTGTGACTTCATGAAAGAAGTGGGCGGATGTGGATATAATAACCTGTCAGTTTACAGGCACACCAGGCCTATCTGGCATGCGAGGAAGCACGGTAAGCCCTGGCATGAAGGACATGGCGCGGATAGATGCGTTCGTGAAGTTTTCTTGATCGCGACATGTTTGATTGATGATTGTGACCAGCAGGGGGAGGGGATACGAGGAGGAGGTTGCCAGCACGATTTGGAAGCACACACGCACAATGACAAGCAAGACATGTAAGCATGCCATGTAGACAGTGTGAGCTTTCCATTTGCGCCATGAGTGTGTACTGCATTTGGGTCCGATTCTCGTCCACGTCTTTTTCCGACTCCAGCTTTAACCTGCTTGCCTACAAGGGGTCCGCTGCAGCTTGTACGAAACAGACACGTGAGGATGCAATGCCGCTGCTATTTGCGATCGCCCTTAGCCCTCGTGGAGGCGGATAGGAGCGATGGTCTGCATTGGGAGAAGCCTTCGCACGAAGACTAGTGCTCGCCGCAGATGCCGAGATTTCCAACGAGAGGCGGCCCGACCCTCCTGAGTCGCTTCAGATCAGGAAGTTCAGGAGGGACCAAAAAAACAGACACCGTGACTTGTCGATTCCTTCGAAAATATGGGAAAATATGGGGAGTGGGGGGGAAGACGAAAATCACCCAAACATGGGAAAATATGGGGAATCCTAGGATTTGTATGTATTCATTTGTGTGTCCCTGGGCCCCTTCAGAAGTGCCGCCGCTCCAACTGGGTTCTGCACGCTGGACCAGAAGAGGCGAAACGCGAACGTCGCTGCAGAGCTGACCGGCAACCTTGCAACATCGGAGATCGTAACCCGAAGGTACGGTTAAGTCGGGCATGTCCCTCTACAGGAGGAACATTCAAAACGGTCAAAAATAGTCAGGGGACATGTTTTTACTATTTTGGCGTGTTTTTTGTATTATTTTGTTGTAGTTTTATTTTTTCGTCCCGAACCCGCCTGTGAGAGGACACGCCCGACCTAAAGGTACGGCGCCATTTCTGATATGACCCGCGGATTATGTTTGGAGTGGTGGTTGATTTCGTGTAAGTTGGTTGCGCGATGGGCTTCTGTGAGCTGGTGATCACGAGACTGATGCTGTCGGTTGCGCCGTGGGCTTGCGATTGGTGCGGTCGCCGTCGTCATTCGTTTCTGCTTCTTGGCGAGGAGATTGCTGTACTCTTCCGTGCGGCCACCTGGCCACCATGGGTGACCCCGGACGCCAGACCGAATTCGCCGTGCTGCTTGGCGTTGTTTGGCACTGCTTGCCACTGCTTGGCGCTGCTCGGCCCCGGGCAACGACCCTGCTCCCGAGCCACGCCGGGGGCCGCAGGGGCAACCTCGGGCAACCCCGAGGAACTCAGGCCAGGAAGGGCCCCGCACCCGCCGTCTTCTTCTGCTGACAAGTCAGATCCCCCTTATCGGCGGCGAGCGAGGGGGGGGGGATGTGAGAAGGAGGAGGGCCTCTCAGAAGGCGGCGGGGCTTCTCAGCAGCTCACCGGCCTTTTGGGAAGCCTTCTGTGTCTTCGAGGGGGGCCCAGGAAACTTCTGGGAAGGCCGGGGGGACTTCCGAGCCTTCCGAGCAGGCCCGTCCCTTCCCGCTCCCCCCTTTGGGCTCGCCGCCGGTATCAGCAAGTCAGGCCCCCTCAGGCAAAGCTTAACTTGATAATCATGTCGTGGGCTTGCGCAGGTCAACTGGGCCCGGGCGCGTCACTCCCTTGCATGGGCTGGGCAATCGGGCCCTGGCGCGTCACAGCAGGCAATACTTGGCACTGATTGGCCTTGCGGGGCGTTGCCTCCATTGGACGCCTGCACACCAACCGGTTCTCCACAAACAAGGATTTCAGTCGGGCACGTCCCTCTACAGGAGGAATGTTCAAAAGTAGTCAAAAAATAGTCAGGGGACGATGTTTGGATTATTTTTGACAATTTTGGTGCATTTTTTGATTATTTTTCAGTTTTCGTCCAAAATCCGCCTGTAGGGGGACATGCCTGACCTAAAACAAGTAGGGATCCCCCCAGCCCAGGCAAAGCCCTGATTGGTGAACGTTGCAGGCTGGCGGTGGATAACAGAGTCGGTGTCCTGGGGCTTATCGAGGTCGCCCGCCTCTTCTTCCCACTCCCGACGAGCGACTGGCGCTCAGCAGCTCTAAGGAGAGCTTGGAGGTCACCAAGGGCAACAGCCTCGCAATGGCCAACCTCTTCAGGAGCGCGGGTCCGCTTGCACCCGTGGCCCTGCCTTACTCAAGAGGCTTACGTCATCCGCCGACTAGGTCCCGTGAAATCGCCAGGGCAGTGATGGTGGAGAGGACTGCCAAGGCAACCAGGTGGCATGCAGGCGAAACGCCAAGCGGGCGGAAGCGCGAAATTGTTCAAAGTTGTCGCATGTGGACTTCGCAAGTTGAGTTGACGGACCCTGATCCATGCATCGGAAAACAAAGAGGTTGCGGGAGCGCAGCAACTGGGCAAGGAGGAGCGGTCCTCCCTTCTCCTTCCCCTTCCTCCCCTTCCTGCCCATTGTGCGTAGCAGAAATGTAGGATGCACCCCGCGGCATTGCGACTCGAGGCGAAACGCGGTGGAACCGCATAGGACAGCACGGGACATTGCAGGCGCCGCTTCGCATCAGGCTGCACCGCTGGGTATTGCTGCGCGCGACGGGAAACCACCCGATTCCAAGCAGCATGACTGGAGCTCCAGAGCGGGGAAGCAAAGCAACAGTTTCCAGAACTGGAGGGCAGCACGAAGGAACAGCGGCTCAGATTCAGCTGAGGTCGGCAGCACCACTGCATATGAGCTTCGACAAGCACGACCCGATTCACCATCGTAGCCAGGTCGGCTCGAACCAGGCTCGGCCCGAGGCCACCACGCTCGGCAGCGAGCGACGGGGGGAAGTGAGAAGGAGAAGGCCCTCTCAGAAGGCGGCGGGACCTCTCGGCAACCCTCAGGCCTTCTGAGAAGCTTTCTGCATCTTCAGGACGGGCTTCGAAAACTTCTCAGAAGGCCGGGGGACTTCCGAGCCTGCTGAGACGGCCTTCTCCTTCTCGCTCCCTCCCGGGCTCGCCGCCGACAGGCGCACCCAGCCAGGCAGGCGCGATGACCACGCGGTACAAGAAGAACCGCCACCTGCGCGGGGCGATCTCGGCGGGCCGCGGGCGCATCGGGAAGCACCGCAAGCACCCGGGCGGCTGCGGGAACGCGGGGGGCCAGCACCACCACCGCATCAACTTCGACAAGTACCACCCGGGCTACTTCGGCAAGGTGGGCATGCGCAACTTCCACCTGATCAAGCACGGCAAGGTTCGGCCACGCTCAGAGGGGGGTATGGGGAGGTGGGAGGGCTTCTTAGGAGCACCCCTGCTTCTTGGAAGGCGCGGCCTTCTCTGTAGATGTAAGGCTGGCACCTTCTTAGAAGCACACCTGCTTCTAAGAAGCCTTCCCCCTCGACTTCCTACCTGTGCGCGCCCCCCAAAGGTGTGCCCCCTGATCAACGTGGACAAGCTCTGGTCGCTGGTCCCAGAGGGGACGCGGGAGCAGTTTGCGGCGCAGAAGGACAAGGCTCCCGTGATCGACGTGATGAAGGCCGGGTACATGAAAGTCTGCGGCAAGGGCCAGCTGCCCGAGCAGCCCCTGATCGTGAAGGCGCGCTACTTCACCAAGGAGGCCGAGGTCAAGATCAAGGAGGCCGGCGGGGTCTGCGTCCTCGTGGCCTGAGCTCGCGCCCCAGGCGCGCCGGGACCCGCGCCCTCTGCGTGCCCGCGGGGCTGCCGCGCGCACGTCGCGGCGGAGCGCGTGGGAGGGCGCCGCGCGTGAGCAGAGAGGCAGCCGCAGCCGAGCAACAATCTCGACGACAGCCTATGTGTAGCCTATGATAGGCTCCCGTAGGGCCTGTGCATGGGCTATCCATAGGCCTGTGGACAGGCTGTCCGCAGGCCTATGGTATAGGCCTGCGCATAGGGTTGTGCATAGGCCTACGGTAGCCTGCGCCGTAGAGCTTGCTCAAACCACACACACCACACACCACACACACATCACACACACACACCATACACACCAAACGCACCATATACATCACACACACACCACACACCACACACCACACACATCACACACACACCACACAACACACACACACCATATACACCCACACGCACACACCCACACACCCACACCACCCACCCCCCCCCCCACCCCTCCACACACACGCACACGCACACGCACAGGCCCACACCACACCCACACACCACACACACACACCCACACCACACACACCACACACCACACACACCACACACACACACACCACACACACACCACACAACACACACCACACACAACGCACACACACACACGCACGCACCCACACACCCACCCACCCACCACCACAACCCACACACACACCCACACACACACACACACGCACACGCACAGGCCCACACCACCCACACACCACACACACACACACCCACACCACACACACCACACACACACACACACCACACAACATACACCACACACACAACACACGCACGCACGCACACACACACACGCACACACAAGCACACAGGTACACACACACACCACACACGCACCACACACGCACACACACACATCCACACCACACACACACACACCCACACCACACACACGCACACACACGCTCACACACAGACACACACGCACACACGCACGCACGCACGCACACACACACACACACACGCACACACGCACACACGCACACACGCACACATCCACACACGCACACACGCACACACACGCACACACACACACACGCGCACACGGACACACGCGCACAAGCGCACACGCGCACACGCGCACACGCGCACACGGGCTCACGCGCTCACGTGTACACGCGCACACGCGCACTCGCGCACTCGCGCACACGCGCCCCTGTGCACACGCGCCCTTGCGCCCTTGCGCCCTTGCGCACACGCGCACACTCGCACACGCGCACACGCGCACACGCGCACACGCGCGCACGCGCACACAAGCACACGCGCCCTCGCGCGCACGCGCACACGCGCACACGCGCTCTCACGCACACGCGCACACGCGCACACGCGCACACGCGCACACGCGCACACGCGCACACGCGCACACGCGCACACGCGCACACGCGCACACGCGCACACGCGCACACGCGCACACGCGCACACGCGCACGTGAGCTTGCGAGCACACGCACACGCACACGCAATCGCACACGCACGCGCACGCGCACACGCACACGCACACGCGCACACGCGCACGCGCACGCACACACGCACACACACACACCACACACGCACACACGCACACACGCGCAAACGCACACGCACACACGCACATCCGCACACACGCACACACGCACACATGCACACACGCACACACGCACACATGCACACGCACACACGCACACGTGCACACACGCACACACGGACACACGCACACACGCACATACACACACACACACATTTTGGGGTCGGCGGTTGGGCAGAGGTCGACTGCACACGCGCCCTTGCGCCCTTGCGCCCTTGCGCCCTTGCGCCCTTGCGCACACGCGCACACGCGCACACGCGCACACGCGCACACGCGCACACGCGCACACGCGCACACGCGCACACGCGCACACGCTCACACGCGCACACGCGCACACGCGCACACGCGCACACGCGCACACGCGCACACGCGCACACGCGCACACGCGCACACGCGCACATGCGCACACGCGCATTCACGCACACACGCACACATGCACACTCGCACACGCGCACACACGCGCACACGCGCACATACACACAGACTTTTTGCGTCGGCGGCTGGGCAGAGGTCGACTGCACACGCGCCCTTGCGCCCTTGCGCACACGCGCACACTCGCACACTCGCACAAGCGCACACGCGCACACGCGCACACGCGCACACGCGCACACGCGCATTCGCGCACACGCGCACACGCGCACACGCGCACACGCGCACACGCGCACACGCGCACTCGCGCACACGCGCACACGCGCACACGCGCACACGCGCCCTCGCGCACACGCGCACACGCGCACACGCGCACACGCGCACACGCGCACACGCGCACACGCGCACGCGCACACGCGCACACGCTCACACGCGCACACGCGCACACGCTCACACGCGCACACGCGCACACGCGCACTCGCACACACGCGCACACGCGCACACGCGCACATGCGCACACATGCGCACACGCGTACACGCTCACACGCGCACACGCGCACACGCGCACACGCGCACACGCGCATTCGCGCACA